TTATTGCCACCGTTGTCTGAGGCAGCTCTTAGCCTCAGTGCCTTGCCGTGGGTGCAGTTATGCAAAGTACTGCAGCCAGAGCTGTGCAGACATGGCATGGGAGCAGTACCACAGGACAGAATGCTCCCTGGGAGCACTGCTTCTCACATTAGGGGTCTTCTGCCATGTTGCCTTGAGGACTGTTCTGCTGGCGGGATTTGCAGAGGTTAGCAGGATGGTGGAATGTTCCCATGATGATGACAGGGACCTTCATAACCCTGAGGCAAGATGCAAACATCTCAGTGAGGCACCAGATACAGGAGCTGGTACCAGAAGTATCCCTGGTTGTAATGACAATGGTCAGTACCAGAGTTCTTACCAAGCTGTGTTCAACCTTTTGCACCATGCTGAGAAGCATAGCCCTGAACATAAGTTCCTTTGCATGCTGAGTGCAGTAGCTGTATGCAAACAACTGCAAGAAGCTGGCCTAGAGGCTGCTGTTTTGAATCAGGAATCATCTGAGAAGTGGTCCAAACCAAAGACATGTGAAAAAACATCGGGTGAATTGTCTCTAGAGCTGAAGACTATGGCAGAAGCAATGCTGAGGCATATGTTGCAGCTGCAATGTAATGCACAAGCGATCACTGTAATGCAGGAGTCAGGTAAGATAAATACTTTTAAGCCCTTCTGTGTTGTCCTTGCTCATCTAGCTTGTGTGAAGAGATTGAATTATCAGTTGTAAAAAGCTCCCACTGCAGATGGGAATGACATGCTTAAATTTTAATGGCCTGTCCCATGCTGGCCTGTTCTCTGGTGCACATGTAGAGGGTATTTAGCTATTATTTATTGCAGCAATATACCAGAAACCTTTCTTCTGCTATCTGCAATCGGTCACAGTGCTTGTTGCATAAGTTGCGTGGGTTACTGAGCATTCATTCTCAACCTACTTGTTTTTCCTCTGTCTTTAGGATCCGGAGATAGTGCTGTTGTAAATAAGAAGCCTGTACGCCTGGCGACAGCCTTATTTCCTGTCCTCAGCCTTCTGAACCATTCGTGCTGTCCCAATATCAGCGTGTTATTTAGTGGGACAGCTGCCACTGTCAGGGCATCACAGCCAATCCCAAGTGGCCAAGAGATTTTCCATTGCTATGGTAAGTATTAACTCTCTGTTTGTCTCAAGGCACAGGCATCCTTTCAGGTCTACTTGGCGTGCTCACTGATTGCTATTAATATCATAATTCCCAGTATAATGTTGCTAGAGTCTTTGTTTATGTATTAGCCTTGATCAAAGTTGTCAATGCAAGATTTTATCTCCTGAGCCCACTGTTACATTTTCAGTCTCCAGTTATGTCCTCTCCAAAAGATGATATATCTAGTCTCAATGATAACAAAGATAGATTTAGTCTGATGTGCCTGTTTAGAGATTTCTACCCTTGCCATCCCTTTGCAGGGCCTCACCGATGTAGAATGAGGGTTGCTGAGAGACAACAGCTTCTCAGTCAGTATTTCTTCGAGTGTCGCTGTCAGGCATGCCTTGATGAGTTAGAGTCTGATGTCAAGAGTGTGGTGTCTATGAGAAACTCATTCTGCTGTCCTAGCTGCCGGGCTCCAGTGCAGGTAGTTCTTCCATAGTTATGATTGTGTAAATTATCGGGATGTGTAGTGTTTGGGTCTCTGGGAAAGTCAAGAGTTAAAGACCTCAGTTCATGATCTCTGCGCAGAAGCAAAAGCCCCTGTAGAGTCAAGACAGTATCTCACTCTTCTTAGCAGCTTTCTTGTGATGTTCTTGTATGTCAGTTTTCCAGCATTATAGGGAAAATAATGCCTTTAACAGCAAGTTAAAATATCTTTGAACTTTACGAATGAACTTTAGAATATGAAGGCTATGGACTAGGGGAAGGGGGATATTTATGAAAGAAAATGGAGGCCTGGAGTCTAGAACAGAAAATGTACATACAGGCACTGTATGTAAGAGAGTCACCCTCTCTGCAGTTCACATGATGTAAATGAAACCAGTGTGTAGTGTGGGTTAGATGGGGAGAAGTCAACATAGTGTGTATTTTGTATGGACATTAGTTGTGTATCACATGACCCTGCTTTGGCCTAATCTATAGCTCACACAGTCATAGCTATTCCTGGAAGTTTCTCATAAAATCGAATAAGCTAATAGCAATTTACAAGCAAGTCACTTTGTTTAGTGAATGCAACTGAGAAACAATTTAGCATCTCTATAACACAATACAGAAATAACAGACATGGAAAGTAAGCTTCAAGTTGAATGTGAGCAGGAATGATCACAGGGATGATTTCCACAGGGGGAAGAAATGCTTTCTTGTTCAAATGAAGCTTGTGCAATCTCAGTCAGCAGAGAGAGCCTGTCACACCGTTTACGGGACCTTCAGCAACAAATCAAGAAAGCGTTAGAACTGCTAAGAGACAGGAAGGCTGGTAAGGCTCAGCTTTCTACTTTAAGGTCAGCAGCTTATGAGTACACATCGGGAGACGTAGTTCTAACCATGAGATGGCACTGTTGCTTATGCAGTTGGGGTCTTCTGGCATGCAGCCCGGTGTCCCTGGGGACTTGAGCTTCAGGTTTTTTATACCCCTGATGCGGGTGTTAATCTAAGTCACACGTTGTTCCATAGTAACTGAAAGAACTCAGGGTAACATTGGAGTTATGCATTCCCAGGCCTTGCTTTCCTGGAGTGAGTCAGGCCAACACTGCGTTAGAATAAGCAGGGTTGCAGATGAAGTCAATGTTGAATCCTAACCAAATCCAAATCTAGCTGTGTAAGATGCAAAGATGAGATTGGACTGATTTTATTTCATGGATCGTGGAAAGCTGGAGAATGGCCAGTAGGATGAATTTTATACCCTGTTTTGTTATAGATCAGGCTATCAAAATGCTCCTGAAGTGTCAGATGGATGCTGGAAACTTCTTGTCTCCAGGGCATTTGCTGATGGGAGAGATGGAGGATCATCTGGCACAGGTCTATGCTACTCTTGGTATGGCATTGTCTTCTCATTATCTTTAGTTTTCTGAACTTTGAATTTAACATGACTAGCTTTTTCTCTGACTAGCCCTTTCACTTTTTTCCTACTGCATTTCTCTAGTTTTGACAAACAGAAAGACTACTTTAGCCAAAACTGGGTTCCCAGCAGCCAGTGAACAATAATGTGATCTCATGTTCTTCTAGATTCCCTGTCCTGGTTCTGAGGTCAGCAGCCTCCCAAGAATGCTGTGGACATAGTTTTTCACTTTTTGCATAATTCTCTCAGATTTTGGGTGGCAGTAGCTCTAGAAAGTATTTATTCATGACTCATGTTTTGTTTTGTTTTTTTTCCGTTAGGGAAGTGGCAGGAAGCAGCCAGACACCTGGAGAGGAGTATTGAAATTGTGGAAATGCATCACGGGCCATCAAGTGTAGAAATGGGTCATGAACTTTTCAAGCTAGCACAAATTCTCTTCAATGGGTAAATCTGCTTTCATTCTCTGTCCCTTCCCTGCACCACTCGTGTGTGTCTGACACAAAATCATGGCAGGTGGTCCTGGGTACCTTGCAGGGTGTCTCACAGGACCCTGGGCAGTCTGCCACAGGTACAACAGTCGGCCATTACTCAAGTGCAAGTTCATTAACCCCTTTGGGATTCACTTATACCTCATGACTCTCTTTGAACCCATTTCTCTGCTTTGTGCCTGTCTATTCTTTTCTTCCTGCTGGCTCCATTTATTCCCTGTCCTATTGTTTTACTTTGACAACTAGTCACCCTTGGTGTTTATACCTCAGTTGTACAACGTTGCTGACATCTTTCCAAAGGGGGAAATAAAACCCTCTTGCTCTATTTTGGCCCTTTTTAGGCAAGCAAATCCTCTGACTGCTTCTGAAAATCTTCTCACAACACCTCCCTTTAACTGATTAACTTTAGCAGGAGCTGCAGTGAGGAAGTAGTGGGTACCTATACTCAAAGATAGTGTTTCAAGTTTTTGTCCGTCTCTTTACCTTTTTTGCCCCCATCCTCCCTTTGCAGCTGAAGTGCATGCTATTTGCCTGGTGCTGAGAGGCAGTGGAGGGTAGGATCTGTACCTATGAACAGGTTTAGGTTTTTGTTGGGGAGGGGTTAAAGGTTGTGTAAGTCAAGGAGCTGAATTAAGTATTCTGTATACTCTGTTCTTACTCTCTTCCTATTTCAGATTTGCGGTTTCTGAAGCTCTGAGCACGATTCAAAGAGCAGAGGAGATTTTGTCAGTGCACTGTGGTCCTCAGAGCACTCAGATCCAGGAACTACAAGAGATGAAGACCTGTCTGTCAGAGCTTCCCAGAAGCATCCTTCAGAGGACTTAATTTCCCTGTCAAAGGAAGCTGCAATGTGATCTTTCATCAAAGCTAAGTTTCATGTGGTAAGGTAGTCACGTAGTACAAGCTGGAAAATCATGTGTAACAACGACTTGAATGAAATCTGAAATGCTCTTTAGTGAGACTGTTGTAAATAAAATGACCAATTCTGACATGAGGGGTCTGTGCGTGGTATGGTGGGAATAGATGCTGTTGTATAATTTCTGCATGTGGGTTTGAAGCAAATGTTTGAGATGCTTGCATATGCGTGTGTTTCTAGAGATGTGAATCTCCCATGTGTGATACCCTGACGGTTGTGAACACGCAGTCATCCAGACCACACTGCCTTTTATTTCTAATGCTATGAAGCACTTTTCTTCTTGCCAGTGTGAAACATAAATGGTTGGAATGGGTGAGGCAGTAGGCTGGGAACTGCAAACTTACAAGCTATAAGAGGGGGCACTGCAGAGCTTGGATGGCTACCAACGCAGACCTGTCAGTGATGAGGGATTCAGTATAAACAACTGGTGTCAGGTTGGAAGACAGGATAGGGAAGAATGCAGTATACACCAGATGACGCTTGCATATAGGACACAGAACTGCATCATGGCTCATCTGGGGAAAATGGGAGTGTGAATCCGCATGATGTAGGCAGACAATCTTTCAAGGGAGAATACTGGGGCTTGCTGAGATTAATAGCAAAAGCTCTTTTATTGCAGTATGAAGGCATAAGATTTGCAAGTTGTGTCTTTGTGCAGCGGAGCAGGGAGCTAGTATCCCTCCCAATACCACCCTTTCCATTTGGGCCCTACCATTGCAGATTATTGTGAAGGAATCTAAACACTCCTGGGATCCAGGATCTTGCCAATGAAGAGGAGGGTTCCAGTGGTATCATCTCGCAGTACAAGAAGGAAAGGTCTGTCCACGTGATATTCTATGGGGAAGGTCAGACGAGCAGCATTCACCCCAGGATTTGGTGTGGATCTTTCCCCATCTTCGCTAAGCTCCAGAATTGCCTTGTGTTGCACATGAGATAGCTTAATAGGTTTGGCAGAAATCATGGTAAAATCAGGTGATGTGAAAAGTGATTGGAGCCCTGGAGGAAAGAAAGAAAATTCCATTAGCTGAAAGCATAGATTGCGGTGGGGGAGCAGTACTGCTAATACTGTGATCTAGGAGGGCATGTAGCTGCTCTGGTAGAGGTTATTGGGGTAACAGGGAGAAGATTACATCTGTTTGTACTGAGTTTCTCCCTCTCAATCTCAGAAGCATTGTATGAGCTTGGTGGAGAGACGTGATAAAAGGTTGAGGAGTCCTGGACCAAGGTGATTTAGTTGCTGGTGAAATCTCTACAGACTGACAGCAGGACCTAACTAATAACCCACCAGCTTCATATTCTGAGAGCAGGAAGTAACTTGCCCACTGCTTTGAGCCCTGGCAGTCTGTCGAGGGTGTGTGATGTACATACTTGTCTCCTTTAGTGTGTTGCCAAGTGCCTCTTCATAGTTCAGCTTTAGTTTGGGCAAGCTTAGCACAGCGTGGACTGTCTTCAGCTCCCTGTCTACATCGTGGATAAATTCAGAAGTAAGGCTTTCCTCAATCAGACTCATATTCTGGATCACCTTCGTAGGCAGGAAGAACATGGCACTGATTCCCTCTGTCAATGGCAGCTGGGCAATCTGGAAGGCCAGTTATAAATAAGAAAGGGTCACAGCAATAATAAGCAGTTTTACCTGTCCTGTACCAGGCACAGGCCTCAATTTTGACTGCCTGGTCAGCTTTTCCAGTTAACATTTGGTCGTCTTCCCTGTTTGCTTTTATTGGACATGATGCATCCTGACCCCTCAGGTGCCCAGGCTTTCATCAACTCATGCTGCACTCTTTCTGCTATTACATGGCAAGTGCTCTCTCTTACCTGTTGAATCCTGTAATGAACTGCAGTGTTGCTTTCGCAGGTTCTCAGCTGGAACACCTTTGAGCCCATGCTACAGTGAAAGAGTGGTTGAAAGAGGTAGAAATGGAACAGTTTTGAGGAGTGTGCCCTGCCGTTCTTGCCCAACTTAAGGTCAAGCAATACAGGCTAGTAGGACCTGTGCATTATTTAAATTCTGGACTGCTTGTCACATAGCCAATGTAGAAGTAGGATGTTCTTAAGAATCTTAAGAACATACCGCCTTTCAAAATAGGGATTGCAAAACTAGCCTGATGGGAGAAGCAAAGCTGTCTTCTGGAATGGGTTAACAGGTAAATGTAGCTGAACCTGTTCCTCAGTAAGTTTAGGAGATCTTGTGCAATATATGCTCTCTGACCTTGCAGTTGAGTTCTGAGTCAAAACCATATCGCAGTATAGCTTTGGGGTCTGACATCATGGACACCTTCACAGTTCTGTCCTCATCCAGATGGAAGTCCTTCAGGGCAGTCTTCTTGGTGTCAAACTTGGTTTTCCATGTCCCTATTTTTTAAAAGATAAAATGGAGGATTTTCTGGAATAATAGCATATGAAACCACGCTTGTGTCTGTGGCTGAGTAATCTGGCACTTTATATATACAGTATTTGTGCTTTAAGAGTTGAGGCATAACTGAATGATGATAGAGATGGAAATAGACTGATTGGAGCTACTGATTTACTGCCACTCTTTGGCCCCTCCTTTTCATCTGAGAATTGGCTAAATGGGAAATAACAAATCAAGCCAGTGTATGGGTGGAGTAGTTATTGGGAAGTTGATGTCTACTTATGTAATTACAAAACTATTTTAAAGGGTAACAATTGTGTCAATGCATATAAAGTGCTCCTCTCCCCACCCTTTATTTTGCTCCTTGTCTCTAAGCAATAATTCTCCATGACACTGGCTTACAGCATGTTCTAGAACAGCTCTCTAGTATCTCTCTCCATTCCCTCTACAGTGGTGAAAAGGGTCAGTACACTCGTTAAGTTGTCCCTTCCCTAAATGGTAATATTCTGTCTCTTGCTGTGGAGTTTTGTGAGCTTGAACTTTCTTCTCTGGTCTCTTACTGCAAACAGGTCAAGATTCAGCTTCCCAAGAGTAATAATTCCTCCCTTGAGGACTATTTCTGTTTAGGTAGCATGCATTTTTTCTTCTTTACTAAACATTCTCAAACACTTTCTTCTTACACTCTGTCTCTTTGGCAGTCTGTTTGCTCTATTGGAAGCGAGAGCATTCCCTCACATCTCTTCTAACGCATGCTTAATAGACCCTCTCTGTAACCAAGTACACAACATTCTTACCCTTGAAGTAAGCAGCCCCAGCAAGGAGAATACTGACATCTGTGGGCATGTCCTTCATAAACCGCATAATCCTTCCCTTTGTCTGCTGTCGTACCCAGTTGTTGATTTCTTGGAGGTCTAACTGGGTATTGCCACTTAGGGCCCTCAGGCGCATCTTGTAGGACTTCTCTAGTTGGCTGTGAAAACCAGGCTTCACCCTCAGTCCTGGGGAACAAAAACATCAATATTGCAGCTAGCTCCCTTATCAAAACAATCTCAAGGCAGCAGATTGCAATCCAAAGCCCAGCAGCAGTTCTCTCATAAAACATCTGTGGCTGTGCATATACAGAAACCTGCTTTGAAGAAGAATGACTGAAGGCACATGGAGGAAACTGATCCAAATCCTAGCGCCTCCCATGCTGGAGTATGGGATAACTCTCTTCTGAAAAGTAAAGAAAGGAGATAAGAAGAGAAGGCTTGGACACAGCTATCCCTGCATCAGTCTTTCTTCTTTCTCCAGCTTGCTTTAAGAGTATGGCTTACTCGACCTATCGGATTCTTGGAACCAGCAGGTTCCAAAAGATAACTCTTAGCTTTCTCAGCAGATGTTTATTGCGTGCCAAAAGCAGACATTTAAAATAGTTCTGTAAGGTATTAAACAAAGGAATATGGCTGAATGCTATCACAAATAGAAAATGCAATTTGTGGTTCCTGGAAGCTGGCAACACCTGCCAGAAAACCTAGAGTGAAAGCAAAATTCTCAGCAAGTTTCTTCTAGGTCTTAGTTGCTCTGTCACCAGTGTCTTTGTGTGCATAAGTCTGGTCTTTTCTTTATGTGCACACAAACTTTCCAGGCTTTTTCTGGAGCTGCAACAGCATTCCATGCACAGTCTGCATCCTGGCTCAACAGTACGTCAGAGCCAAAGCTGTTAGTGTGGTGTTATTCAGTGTGTTCTACCTGCTGCTAGTTATTCAGGTGAAATTTGATAGAGGGGAAGAAGGACTTTTACTTTTCTCCAAGATGATACGGGAAGCACTTTTCATGCTCTTTTCTGGTGCAGACACGCTGGTCAGTAGGTCTTTGTAAGTGTTGTGGACCTCAGCTTTGTTAAGCAGATCATAGAAGAGAGCGCGAGAAATCACATCTTCTGTTCGTTCTCCAGCCCCTGCCAACAACAAAGACAACAGTATGAGGGAAGGCCTGTCAAGCCAAACAGCATGTGAGGAAAAGGGGCAAGAACTCACCAAGTGAGAGACCAGAGAGTGCTGTAGCCAGGCTGAATGGAGACAGTAGCACATTGGCAGTGGCTGTCCGGCTAGATTGCTGACGGTACAGGTCATAGCCAAAGTTGGAGACTGCAGCTGCCAGCTTGTTTACAGGGGTCTTATAGAATGGATCTTCCTCTTCAACCTCACCAGCATTAGCTCCATCAGCGGTGGCAGAGTTCTAGCAGGTACAGGAAGCGCTGTGGTTAGACTTGCAGTTTACAAGGGCGGGTACAGTTGTGTTAAACATTTCAAAGGCAAGCAATCTACAGATAGTCTCCTATGATCTACAGAAATAGTGGGTTAATCTTATTGATCGAGAGTGTAGGAACCATTACTTTACTTTAAAGTGTCCCGGTAAAGCCGAAGGCAGCACTTGGATTGGAATCCACTATTTCTGCCTCACAGTCATCCCCTGATGTAACTACTGTGGTTTTATCTAGGTAAAGCAGGAGTTAGTCTCATTATGTTGCTAAATAAAATCCTAGTAACTCAGGAGGGTAGTGCTTAATCCTTCCGTAAGATTCTCTAAAATTAAATTACATGCTCCAAGTAGCTCTTCCTCACTCTCTGCATGTTGTCTCCTACTCACCTGCTCGGTAGCTGAGTTCTGGGATCTGCTTGGGACAGTTAAGAGACCCAGGAAAAGGAGAACCACTGGAATCCGCATGCCTGAACCTACAAAGTAAGAACATGACACAGGTAGTTTGAGCAACTGAGCAAATACATCTCTACCACTACTATTCGCTGTACCTGGTTGTGACAGGAACTGCAATGACACATGCTGCTGCTTGTCCTTCCCAACTGTGAAACACACACCTGATATTAGCTGGGTTTTCTTTTCTAGTTTGAAGTATTCAGCCAGCCTGGCCCCAATGACTTCAAAACGGGGCAAGCACACATGCCTGGGTGTGCCTGAGTGCAAAAGCAGATGTGTGTGGCCCAAACCACACTGATGCTGGCAGTTACTGAGTGCCAAGGTCCAGAAAAGCACTAAATCATATCTTTGGAGTTTTAGACTTTAAAAGATTCACTACTGCATTTATAAAAGGTAGCAAATCCATATTGTTGAATGGGGCAGAAGATGAAACTGACTGGTTACTGCTCTGCTATACAAGTTACCTGCCTCAGGCAGCAGTTTGTCGTGTTTCTTGTGTCTGCATGTACCTGAAAGGCTGTACAGCCTATATGCATCCTTTGCTGCTTATTTGCAATTTGATAAAGTAGAAGAGCTTTCTTAAAAGACAGTAAGAAAAAGGGCTGGGAGTAAATACCTAACACTGGGCCAGATCTAGAGAAGTGGTGAAAGACAGAGCCTGGCTTATTCAACATTTTTAATGGTGGTGGGAGAAAAGTACCAAACTCCCCAAAGCTGTTCCTTCTGTGGAATCCACTTTTGGTTGCTCCAGTATTGGCATATGTGGCCCTTTCAGACAGATCTGTCTGGTCCAAAGGGCAGTGTGTAACCTAGGGTTTCACTGTGGGTAAACCAGAGCTACTGCAGAAGTGTCATGCCCTTGAGAACAGACGCCACTGAGGCTAGGCTGAAGCAATGTTTATATAGATTCCCAGAAATTAAAGGAAGAGGGTTGTATTTAACTAACCCCTCTGATCCAGGCATCCAGTGAAGTAGGAGAAAGAACATGTGTTTCAGATTAACTTCAGCTATAAAGAAAACATGCCTGCTGGTAGAAATACAACTTAAAGCCACGTGGCTACAACAGCCCCAGTTCAGGACCCAGTCTGTTCAGGCAGAGGTTTTACTTCAGTGAAAGGCAATTCACCGTTTCCTGCCAACCCCCTTTTCTTCTGGAGGTAGTTCTGCCTTGGAGAAAAAGATGTCACCGTGGAAGTTTTAAGTTTTCATCTATGTTTAGATAGTGTAACACAGAAGTGGTACCCTCTTTTCCCTGTGCACTTGCATCCTATGGTCTGCTGCTATCCTAGCTGCCAAGTAGATGAGGTATTCTGGTGCAGAAGCAGCGTATCAAGAGGATTTACTATACTGAAAAAAACCAATGCATTTAGTGGTATGATAGTGGATATGATGTTGGGATTGCTTATATCATTGCAGAGTTTTACAATGAATAGGCACCATGCTGAAAGAGAGATGACAGAAGCCCTGCGTGAGTCTAAGTTAAACGGGTCTTAGCGAGGGCTTTGTGAGGATGCCTGCACCAAGCAGTACTCTTAACATGCTGAGCGGAAGAGGTTTGGCCCAGTCTAATGTAGAGATGAAGGTTTTCCATGGAGCGTAACCTTTTCTCTGAAAAAAAGATAATCATCTCAACACAACCTCTGCTTCCAACTACACTGAGCTCCTGGGAGCATGAGAGCGGAGATTGGTTTTGCAGATTTGCATTGTTTTTGCCAGTACTGTCACCAGCTTCATATTTCTCAGACTTTGCCAAAAAGCAATTTCCATTTTAGAAAGACAAAGCCTTTTGCGTTTAAATTGGCCTCAACATCTGGATTCTATTTGCATGTGTCTCAGCACACAGCCAAAAATTCAGAGAAAAGAATTTGGTTGAAGCAGAGGTGGGATGGTTTCAGGCATGGTATTAAAATCTGTGGCAGCGTTTAAAGAGAAGAGAAGAAGCACCAGCATGCAGCATGTGATGTTACAGTCAGGAAGGTACAGGAAGAAAACTTTGAGAAATGAGCTGAGAAGGAACTCTGTGTCTGGCAGCTGTCTATTTGTGAAGGCCCGCAGGTGCAAATGAAATATTTTGCTTTCCATCTATAACGGTACAAGTCTCACATCATTTATAAACCCTTCTGATTTTAGGGGTGCTATGAAACACCACCCACGAGTTCAGACTGCTCACTGTGATCGCTCTACCCCACAGCACTAACTCCTGAAGCATCTTGCAACCACTAGCTCTAGAGGATTTGACTATCACCAAAATTGTTACCATTGCAAAGAAAAAGCATGTTCCCAGCTGCAACACAGTTGCTGGAAGGGCAGAAAACCAGCCCAGCTCCCAAGCACAGCTCAGCCCCGGAGGCAAAGAGGTGGTGCCCTAGGATGCTGGTGGCTCCCAGCCCTTGGTGAGATCTCCCATTTGGTGGGACTCCCACCCTTCAATACCTGCAGAAGAACCGTTTTTCCCATTTCCCAAGTCCTCTGAGAGCTCCCCAGCCTCATCCCCTGCCCTCTGCTCCCCTCGCTGCTGGCCCTGAGCGAGGGTGAGCTGCCCCTTACCTCTGGCTCCTCTCGGCCGTTGCTGTCCAGGCTCCCGGCCGGTGCGAGTTGGGGACACTGTGGGTTTGGTGCAGCCACATCTGCTTTTTGCTGCTTCCCCCAGCCCAGCCTTCGACAGGCTTCAGGTTACAGCTTCCCAGGACTCTCTTAAAGTGCTCTGCTCCCATTTTCCACTCCTGGCACCCTCCCACTGAACTGCACTAATTTTTTAAGCTTCCAAAACAAATGTGGTCCCTGTGATAAGGGCAGTCCAGCAGGTAAAGCACAGGTCGGAGAGGCAAACGCTCCCTACCCCTGTTTGAGCAAGTCTTTTATCCCCGCAGTTTTGCTGTGTGTCACATGAGGGAACTTCTTCTGACTCAGAGGTATGGTTAATGCAGCAATGTTTAATGGATTTATGTCCAAGATTTAATGGAGAGACTTATAAAGTGGAAGCAGGATTCTGTTGCTGTTTAAGGCAGTTAAAGGGAAGACCTTCAGAAGTGGTTCTATCCAGTGACAGTTACTAGTTAACAAGAAGTTATTAACGTAACTGGCTTAAAGTTCTTGGCTGACAAGAAAGAGACTAAAAAGCCAAGGACTCCTGGTAAAAAATGATGAATTAACCAAATGTTGTAGGAGCTTACAGAACTATAAATTATCTGGAGAAGGGAAAGGGGCAGAGGGGTTTCATTATTTTTTGCAATAGAGGACTTTAGGGGAGCACTCGTCAGTGCACATTTAAATCAAGAGAGTGTATTTTTCATAAGTATTAAATTGTAAAACTCATTGTAACTAGATGTTGCAGAAGATGAAAGATAAACAGATTTGGGGGAAAAAACCAACCCAAATCAAATTAGTGGAAGACAGGTCCATTGAAGGCTAACAATGGTCGGATGTAACGTCAAACTCAGCATCTGGGCAATACAACCAGAGAACAGTTGTTTTTCCTTATCCCTAGTCATTCTTGGCTTTTTTTTCCCCGGTCATTTGTTACTGGCTATTGGGAGAGCCAGGATACTGGGCTAACTGGACATGGAGCTAGCCTGATCCAGGGCAGCTGTTTGTCTACTTGGAAATGCTGAAAGTAAATTGTAGCCAGTAATATCAGTGCCCCCGGGTCTAGGCTTGCATTAGGACATCTTCTTTTTGGGCTCCGAGCCTCACCGCTAACAGGTAATGAGGAGTTACTCAGGCATGCTGGCACTGAGCTCATACAGTCACTCAGCAAAGAGGAGAGGATGGTTTTAGAGAAGCATTAGCTGCTGTTTTTGCAAGCTGGAAAAGCAAATCAGGTAGTCTGCCCTGTGATTAGTCAGTGCTTCAAAGGTGACCCTTTCTAACATGAGCAATAGCTCTGCTTTCAACTGCTTCTCAGCTTGCTCTGTGAGAAATCGTCTGCAAAGAGATGTTTGTACTTGTTAGTCTTCCATCATCAGGCCAAGAATGGGGGCGTTGGCTGTGGAGATATCTTCCAGTGGTTTTCATCTCTTTTTGATACCTTATTTGTGGTATTAAAATGCCCTTTATGGAAGGACCACTAGAGAAGTTTTTATATCTCGTCTGTATCTTCAAATGAAAGTCCATCTGTTTTAATACAGGTTTGGTTTTAAACTGTTTAAATCGGAGTGGCAGTTGTATAGAATGTTATTATAGACCAAAGCAAGCTTTATTCCTGTAGGTGAAAGGTATCCCTGAAATGGTGCATAATACTCATCTAACTAGATGCAAGAGCTTAAATCAATTTTGTTAAATGTATACAAACATTTTACTGTTGGTCTGGTTTGGGTTCAAGATAGTAGGCAATATGCTGTCTGAACAGTGTTCACCTCTGCTATGGAAGTACTGATCATGTTCATATGAATTTGCTCTAGTAAGGAAAAAATACATCTAATATTAAAGACATTGAGACTTATTTGATATTCTCAGCCAGTGGTGCAGATGAGCTATAGAGCAGACACCCTGTGCTAGTCATGTCTTTTCAGAATAGAGCTCAGTCAAAATGAAAGCTTAGCAATGCAAAGTAGAAATTCCTGAGCAGAGACATTAATATTACTTTGCATTTTACAAACTGCCTCTTCTTGAGAGCCAGTGGAGTGAAAAAGAGTCTTAAGGTTGGTGTAACTGATAATTTGTTGAGCAAAGCACAGTCATGGAGGGCTGCTGTACTGTCAAATAAGATGAAATTAATAGTTTGACAAGAATAGCTTGGGGGAGGAGGGATGGCAGAAAGACGGAAAATAGGAAATCAGAACCAAGCTGTTCAGGAAACTGAGAATGGGGGGGAAAATCTTTATAGAAGAGGGGGAGCTGGAGGGCAGAGGCGTGACAAGGAAGACTTGCACTTCAAATTTTGCACAGGTTGCAGTGCAACAGCGTGGAATTCAGGGAGGTTAGCACTGAGGCTGCAGTAGCCAAAGCAAGACTTACCTAAGGCATGGGATGGTATTTCTGAATGTTAGGAATGAATCTGTATAAATAAATAAGCTCAAATGTTCCCTGTGAGCTAGAGCTATGCCCTCATAGTAGGGCTGAATTCTTGTGGGTTTACTTGTTAAAATTACATGGCCCTGTAATTACACCCTCTTTTTGAAGGGTACGTGTCATTGCATTGGTTAGAGGGGTAGACATTATCTTTAGCCGTTCTTCCCCTTTTAGACTGCAAGAAATGTGTAATTGCAGGTTTGAGCCAGGACTTTTATTCCCCAAAGTCTCCTGCATCCCCAAAATTCATGGTTAGTGAGTCAGTCCTTCTCTTATTCCAGCAGATGGTGCAGACTATTCAGGGACGGAGGCTCCCAGAAGCATTCTGGTCCTTCCTTTGAGGGAAGGCAGACTTCCCGATTGAGGAAAACACTGCCAGAAGGATGGCCCTTGTGCTCTGTAAGTGCTATTTCGCAAAAAACAGAGCACCATCCTTGTTACCCAGAAGCTGAGGGAGTTCGGAAGCAGAATCTACTATGGACAGCAGTTGTTTTGTACAGAAATAGCTGCAGCATGGCAGGCTATGGTGAGTTAGACCAATATTTTTAAGTGGTAGGATGGCTTGGTTGGGTGGAGGGTTCCCAAGATTCTTTCATGGTAGCTTATTTCAGACGTGCACTGCTACCTCAGAACAAGGACCCAGGGAGCTGTGCCCATCTCAGACAAAAGTGAAGCTGTAAAGGGACATTGCCTTTTGCCAAAACAGGGCAAAAGCAGACATTCAGCTACAGGCGTCAAAATCTGCCCCTCCTTCCCCTGGAAGCTGTCCCAACCATCCATAGCATTGTGCTGTGGAGCCAGGAGTATCCCTGCAACAAATTGCAGATATCAGATGCCAGATCAGCACTTTTGAACCTCCTAATAGATACCAGCAATGGTCAGGTTTTGCCTAAGAGAAAGGTTAAGGACTGTCACATCACTGCTTATCACTGCATTGCTGCTCACAGGCAAAGTACCCTCCTGTCCCTATGCCACTGAGCTCATGCCCTAATTCAGGGAATTCTGTCCATTCCACAAAGCCAGTTCTGACCCAGTGAGCATTCCCTCCACGCTCTGCAGGTGAGATGCCCAGAACTTATTGGACTCGGTCCTTGGACAGTCTTTACAGATTAGCCATTTCACCTCACAGCCCCTGTTGTCCTCTGTGATGAGGTGTAGCAAAAACCAGATCCTTTGCAAGAGCCCCTCCTTTCCATCTGTCATGCCCTGACTTTTTTCCTCCCAATCTTTGCAATTATTCAAGCTGTGTGCCTTTTTTCTTTCTCTGTTGGGTCTTTCAATGCAACACCTTAAGCAAATATATTCTGCTTTACTCTTTATTATTCTGCCAACATAAAAATTACTAAAAAACACTTTATAAAATACGTCTCAAAATCTAGCATCACCCAAGAACCTAGAGTTTCCCAGGAAAAGGGCTGGAGATAAGGATCCAAAGGGGTTTCCCACTGCAGACCCTCCCACATCAGATCCCAATAGCCAAGCAGTGGGAAAAGGGAATCTTTGAAAAGAGCCTGTGCCTGGAAATGGCTGTGATGCATCCTAGAGAAGACAACTAGTTACTAGTCCAGTTGATCTAGAGATTGTTTTCTAGGTGGATACAAATGGTTTTCAGAGGAACACTTTGAGGGAGACTTGTTCACAGGAACTGCGGAAGGAAGAGCCATATTAATATCTCTGGCTGTTGTCCAAGCTGCCAGATGCTAATGATGATTCCAGGCTACGGGGGCCTCTAATAAGAGCTTAATAAAGACTCTAATAAGAGTCTGGGGACAAGGAAGTCTCCCTTCCAGGACTGAGAGCCCTGGAAGGGAAATCCAGGCAGAGCAAGCTTTTCAGGTTCAACAGAGGGGAACCCCAGCCTGGAGAAGCTCGTCAAGGCTGGAATGGGCTATCCCAGAACTGGTCTCTAGGAATCTGTAAAGGAAAACAGCAAGGGTTGCCTTCTGTGGCCTCAGAGGGAGGTCTCCAAGGACAGGAGGCCTCTTTTAGCTGGTCCAAAGGGTCAGGTAGCAGTCCCAGAACACTTAGCCTCTCCTCCTCTCTTATTTGGGCATGGGGTCTGTTGCTTCACGTGAGTCCCGTGGCTCTTTTATCTGGGGAGCAGCATTGGGGTTAGGGTTCTGGACACTGCCTATAAAAAGCGGGATGCCTGTTTCATCTTCAAAGATAACGAAGATGAAGGGCCGATCAAGGCTGAAGGCAGAGACCGAGCGTGAAATTGCAACACTGGTAGCAGCAGATGCTTCCACCCCATCTTCTTTAAGCTCCAGGGCAGACTGATGCTGTATACTGGATACAAAGAGAGGTTCATCTGCGATCTTCTGGAGATTTGGGCTTGTGAACAGCTCCTGGAGGCCTACAGAGAAATGAGACTAAGTTAACCTTTCCCAGTTGGTACCACCAGCTCTGATTTTTCTCAAAGCTGTGCAAAGAAAGCAATTGCCTAATTTGTTGCTATGTGTGTTGTCCACCGTGGAGGACCGGAGAACTGGCAGGCAAGAGAAACAAAAGCTGAAGTCCAGCTCTGGGGAATATGAAGAGCTGAGGGTACCAAAACCAGAACAGTTTTCATAAGCTTTGTCCACGTCTTTTAGAATAGTAGTGTAAGAACTTAGAGCCTTCCTTAAAAAGCAGTAGCAAGTTTGAAGGCTCTTTCTTGCTAGGCTGGAAACACTTTTACAGAGATTATTTTTTTAAGCACTTCTGCAAAACAAAGTAAACTCTTAATTTATTCTCATCTGGAAATGCAGTGCGTGGTGTTTTATTTCAGTAAGCTCTCAGTTCCAGGTTTTGTGATCTGCGTTCTCTCTGTTGGCAATTTCTATGTCCTGGACAATATGTTAAATGACAAGAGGTAAAGGTTGGTGCATGGGAGGAAGTTGGTCTTGGCTACAAATAGGGGAATAGGAAGAACCTGTAAAGATTGTGAGGAACTGTGAAAGCTGCCTTCTCCATAGTATCATCTTGTTGGAGCAAAACATTTGGTGCTAGGCAAGCAAAGAGTAAGGAGGAGGAGAGGAATAAGAGATGAAAGTTTGGATGTTATCTGAAGCAAGCTGTGAGGCACAGCTTTAGAAACAAGGATGGCAGTTTTTAGTGTCAGTGAACAGATGCCATATAGATTGATCAGCTTCACTTACTCTGTGCAAGTCTTGTTAGAGGCCTTACCCATTTGACTGAGAACCTTGTTGAGTTCCAGCTGGTAGTCCAGTTTTATTTTGGGGATCTTCACTGTGGTGGGTACCTCGTTGGGGAAAAGCTTGCATAGTTGTTCATAAGGGAGGTTCTCCAGCACATAAGAGTTATTCCAAGTATACTGGTTTGGTACAATGACCACAAAACTCATGTTACTCTTAAAGGGAAACTTGGCCACCTGGAAATAAAGCCAACCAGAATTTATGGAAGAGGAAGGAAAGTCCAGAAAGTGATGCTTTTAATTTAGTCTTTTTCTAATTGGTCTACAGAGCCAGTCTAGGTGTCTGAGAAAAACAGCCTAGTGGGAAGGAGGTATCTGATTTCTTCAGGGGAGAATGTTTGTTGGAATAACAGCATCGGATTTTAGTTATTTAGCTATTGACTGGTAAAGATTGAACACATGGTGGGGTGGAAGCCGACGTGCACTAACATTGTACCCACTCTGGCTGTATTCTGAAGGGCTCCAACAGTACATATGCTGTCTGAGGGAACTCCTTTCCATATTTCCTCATTTATCTTTAACTCAGGGCTTTAAATCTCCATTAATTCCCACTTAGTGGGAATCTCTCCCTGTGGTTTTCCCTAGAGATTGAGAATGAAGATTCAACATTCTTACTAGAAGCAAGGACAAAGGATGCTTATTAAATTTTTCTGTGCTATGCCTGTTAAAATACATTTGGTTCTTGGAGAGAATAGTTGCAGTCAGTGAAATACAATAGCGAGAAGAAATTCCAGTCAAAACTTGCAGTGCTCCTAATAGAGCCCTACCTGAATGTCCTGAGACTCCAGTGTAAACCAGCTCAGGGGGTACTTCTGGGCTTTCATCATCTCAACTGGGACCACGAACTCATTGTCAAGGTGGAATACATCTGGCCCAGTGAAGCTAGCATCAAACCGACTCCTCCAAAACCCTATCAAAATAAAAGTTTAGAATTCAACAAAGTTAAATTTAGGTAGGAAAACAGAAACTGCCTAGCTGACACTCCTCCTATCATGAGTTCTCCAACAAGGCAGATAGTGACCAGGCAGGTAGAAATACAGCAAAGAGAAGTCAGTACCAAGGCTGGAAGACCCTTAACAGCACAAAGCTCTTCTCTTCCAGAGAGGGACTATAGAATAGCAAAAAGAATGAGGATTAATCCTCATGCCTCAGTGTGGGAGATTACTGAAGGCTATGAAGATAAAGTAATGGATGTTTGCACTTTGAAAAATGGAGTATTGCCTTTGTGCTGTCTAGGGTGAAACAGTGCTCTAAAACCAAACTAACGCATTTGCAGATTTACCCCAGAAGTAAGTGTTCGGTCTGTTTCCATGCACAACCCTCAGGGAATTAAAAGAGGAAGATGTGCCTGACCACTGTGCTGTAGTCAAAAAGAGATCCACAGAAGCTGCCTCCAAGCTCTGTGGTTGGTGTGTAGTGAGTTGCATGTGACCTGGTTAAGAAGAGCAGTGATGTGCCGCTGTCTGGGATCCTGAACCACGAGGCAAAAATACTGCAGGTTCCACCTGCTGCGTTCCAGCTCTGCTATCAAGTAACATTTTTAGCACATGTGAAGCAGTTTGGAATCATTACTGTAAAGAAATCTAAGCAAGAGCAATGGCAGATGTACAAGGAAAGAACAAGCAGATTGACTAGCAGGAAGCAATGAAAGGAGATGCCATTCAGCTACAGTGCTGGTGGAAAACTAGTAGATTTTGAACTATTCCTCTGGATGATCAGGCTTGAAAAGTAAGGCCTGTGGAGCTCACCGTGGAAATGGATTGCATTGAGCAAGAGCATCACTGTGTTTTCAGGGAGCTGCTGTAGGAAGGTGGGTATTTGCCCATTAGTTGCTTCCTTTACCCACTTGTTTATGGCTATGAGGTCATCCTCACTGATCCCAGAAAGGGTCATGGGCTTTGCCTTGTAGAATTTCTCTGAATCCTCCAGGAACTTCTCTTTCACCTCAAATCCTGGCAGAGGGGAAAAATTCCACAGAAAGTCATCAGACCTTGAAAAAAGCAGAGACATCTCCTGGTATGGCAGTGTGCTTCCATCACTCTCTGTCACCAAGAGTTTTATCCTACACCAGTACAGACCCTCCTGTGCCAGCTCTCACCTTTCTGCAGGTACAGACGCGACGCAAGGCTGAGGGTGGATTCTGCGAGCCTTCTGCGAAGGGTGCCCAACATGTGGTGGAGACAGGGCACCGACTCCAGATGCATCGCCTGCAGCAAATGCTTCTCTGTCTGATTTGCTGCTCCTAAAAAGCAAAGTCAAATTCCTGTTAGTTCATGCCCATGTAGTGGAAAACAGGGGTATTACCCAAGCTGCCTCCTGTTAGAAGTGTACTGTGCCTTACAAAAGAGGCTGGAGAAACGTGACAGTAGGAGCCTCAGCATGGGCCATGGAGGACAGCTTCAATTGTAATCGTACCTAATTAAAGCCGCAGGAGTAAGATTAAGTGGAAGGTGCCATATTTAATCTTTGCATTTTGCACATTGGTTCCTGGTGCCTCCAGGATGGGCAGGGCAGGAACCAGTGCTTTTGTAACTTAGAATTTACCCAGTGCCAGGTGAGACAAGGCGAGGGCGATGCTGAAGGGTGATAAGATCACATTGGTTCTGTTGGACTCCAGCTGGACCTCTCTCAGGAGATCGATGCTGAATCTCATCAAGCCATCTGCTAGCCTCTGGCTCTTCTTCCAAGTCATCTCACAGTTTTTATCTTCAGCCTCTCCTTCCTCTTCAGAAGAGGCAGTTTCCTCAGATGGTTGCTGTTCATGACAGCCCACAGCCCCAGCTATGACTTCATCTTCTGGGTTCCAGTCATTCCTCATGCCTGGCAGTGCGGTGGTGAAAGGTAACATGGGTCCATCAATCTCCTGGAAGTTGTCATAGGTAATGTCTGCCATCCCTGCGCTCGGCATGGGTGGTATGGCTTCCTGCAGAGCAGACTGTACAACTCCAGCACTTTTCACGTCCTGTGGAGAAACAACCTCGTGGGCTTTACTGCGCATCTAAATGGACTGAGAAAACTCTCCAGCTTCTCTACTCTGGTGGTGTATTCACTTCAGTTTGCCTTTTAACCTTGAGGTTAAAAGCACCTCAATGAATATGGAAAACAAGGTCTTGTATCCTGGGAAAATGGACCAAGTGAGGGTCTTGCAGTGGTTGCCCCTCCACTTGCTCTTGGGGCCTGCCCCAGGCAAACAAGCCCAACAGTCATGCTTTGAGGGCAGGAACCACCACCCGCTCAGCACGTCCTGTGCCTTCACCGATCTATAAAACTAAATCATCATCCTCAACCTTGATTTCACCACCTCCTCTCACATATTTTAGGACTGCCAGTCTGCCTCATGCATCGGTCAGCACCCTCTACTGCTGTCACAGCCTTGATCCATTTTGGCTGAAATCCTCCTCCAGGCATCTGTCTCTTCTTGACTTGTCTGTTCTATTCCATCCCTTTTCTCTCCAAATCCCTCATTTTCCAGTTTTCTAAGCTTTAGCCTATAGCACTGCTGCTACTGTCCTCACATTTGCATGGTCTTAAACACATGCTTTTTACCTCAGATCTCTCTGTTCCCACCAGCAGCCGGATGACATTCCTCTACTGCAGGAGCTCTGCACTGTCAGAGCCAGGCTCAGTGCATAGCATCAGCTATGGGTCTTTCTCCCTGTCACCCTCATAGCTAGTTTTCTTCATCTTCCCTTATCAATCAGAAATGAAATAATCTACCTGCCAGTCCCTGTACACACCAGCTACTGGTGTTTACTCCACATGCTGCCCAGATATTTAGGCTGGAGCTTCCAACATGAAGGAGCACAGCGTTGGGAGCAGCTGTGAAGTGTGGAGGGAAGCCTGCACAAAGGAGGACTTTCTCATTGCTCTGGCGCTGCTAGATTGCATTGCCTGGGCTCATCCCATCTCAGGACAAACTGGAAAACCATTGCAAATACCACAGCATAAGTTCAGTCCCCTTGGGTGGAACCAGTCATTGCTTACCTTCAGCTCCCCATCCTTGTCTAAGAAGAGACGCTTTTGCTCAATGGCATATGCCGAAGAAAACTGTAGAGGGGGGGAGAAAAACCCAAACAACAAACAGTGTCAGATCCCAGATAATTTCCTCTGAATTTCCAGAGTCAAATCTTTTCTGCCCCCACTCCTAACACAGTCCTGTGGGGCCAGGTCAGAGACTGGTACCAGCCTCTGCATTGCTACAGCACGGGTAGGGCTTTAGGATGCGGACCCAGAGGCAGAGGAGTCCACCGTGGGGAGGTGGAAGTGAGCAGGAGCTGGGAGAGACTGCAAATGCTGGATTTGTTTAGAAAGGGACCAGGTCAGAAGGGTAGAAAAAAATAATGTATCCTCTAGAGAGTGAGCAGTGTGGTTTTGCAATCTCAGATCTGACGGGGATCCAGATTTAAAATGGGAGGGAAAAAAAGCTGTTATTAAACAACCTCCTGTTAACCCCTGAAGGTCAGGGTCACTAAATACAGTTGAAGCCAAGTTTCCAAAAATTTTCTACAGTAATTCACTTGAATAATGAGCATATCCACAGCTGTATTAGCTGGGAAAAAGATTAGAAACCTTGCTGCACTGGGGCACAGGCTAACCCCATGGCAGAGAAGCAGTGTCCTCCACCAGTTTGCCTTCCAGGGCTTCTCAGGCAGAAGCATCGGGCGGTATTTGCCCCATGGTCCGGTGCAGGAGAGCCACCTCACTCCCCCTGCCCTTTGCTGACTGGAGAGGCCCCCACCATCACTGGAGTGAAGGAACTTACCCTTAGGTGACTGTGCAGAACAGACAGGCAGAGCAGCCACAGACCCCAGAGGAACACCATATTTCTGGAACAGAAGGACCAGCCGAGAGAGAAGTTATTTCCAGCTGCCTGGCAGCAGCAAACTGAGCCTATTCAGGTCTACAGGGAGAAAATTATCAACCTGGCCAAACAGGTTGGCGCAGGAGCTTGCAGAAAGCAATAGGGAGATGAACAATGCTGCAAAGAAACAACACAGGACTCCTGGGTCCAATGCCAAGGCAGCAAAATCAGAAAGGAACAGGGACCCGCACCGGAGCAGAGCTGTAACCGCAGCCAGGCTCCTACATGACGCTCTCTTGCTTGGATCCTGCATTTCTGACCCCATTGCCCTTATTTCTCTGGATTGCAAATGGTATTTTCCTAATCAGTCCTGCACACACTGTGCCTCTGGAAGAAGACAAGAGCCTCTGCTCCTTTCCCATGCAAACCACTGAGGTAGAAGCACAGCATCCCCAGCTGTGCCGCGGGCTCTTGGGAGAAGGGATACTAACCTGCCTCAGAGGGGTTGCAGGCACTCAGCAAGTGCTGTCTGGGAGGGACTTTGCAGGTAGAAAATGCAATACCAGAGCAGTTTCTCAGCAATATGTCCTGGAATAGAGTCCTCCCCTTCCCAGCACTCGCCTTCCCCCTTTGCTGGCAAACCCAGCCTCTCCCACCCCCGCATTCCGATTCCTGTATGGGACAGTGGGAGCAGGGCTTCCAGGGCCATGGATAAAACCCCACCCATACCCTGGCCACCGCTTCACACAGCCACTTTTCCCTTTTAAACAGAAATAACATATCTTCTTCTTAGCATAAAGCCTCCATGCCAAAGCCCGGCCCTCAGCACAGCTGCCATACACTTAATTCCTGGGGCTGCTTTCCACTCTCCAAGCAGTCCTTGCTTTCACCCGAAACTGCTGGGTTGTGACCCCAGTTGCCAAGTGGAAGAAGCAAAACTTGAGGCCATTTCATTCCCCCTCTTCCCTGACCCCAAATCCTGCAGCCACATATAACCCTGAATGTCCCTTTTCTCCCTGATGGTGCCCATCCTTTAACCCTCTGCCAAAATCACCCCCCTCTCCCGGAGAGGCACTATTGCTCGTTGGAGGAGCCCCCATTTACTGTCAAATCCTTGTTCATTTGCCTCTTACCTGAGGTTGTTCATGTCCACATTGGAGCTGGCACCTGCTTTAGCCCGGCCGATAGCTCTGCGCGGGGCAAACACAGTCTCTTGTCCAGCCCACTTCCCCTACCCGCCGGCAGCGACCTTCGGCACCACCCTGTTTGAGAATTTGGCAGGCAAATATTGACCTACAGCATCCGGTTAAACATTTGTTTGGGGGATAAGAGTGAATTTGTGCTGCATTTGGAGATGGGGAGACACTTTGGGCTGCTGTACCCTCAAGACAATATTAACACCGAGTTTACCAGCTCCAAAACTCCCATCAGCAGAAGTGACACGCAAAGTCAGTTGTCCCTAGTAGTGGCTCTGCTTTCCGTATACTCCCTGTGCTGGGAATGTGCTCTTTTATTCATAATCTTTAGTGAAAACGTAGGGCTTGGTATTTATTGCCACAGGGTGCTCTGGTTTTGGAATTTTCTTTGCAGAAACCCCCAGATATTTACTCCCTGTATCCCAGCTGCTTCTGCTGCAGCAAGCACAAGGCACTGGTTTTAACAGATGGCTGCTGCCCAAGGCCCCGTGGCCACATACCCGAGCAAGAGGCGGCAATGCTCAGGCTGGACTGAGCCAAGAGCAGCTGGTACCTCCCCTGGGGCACAGCACACACCAGAGCTCTGCTGAGGGAGTTGGCCCCGGTGCCGGGCTCCACGGCACGCACGCACTGCTGTGGCATGGAGGAAGAGTCTCGGGGATGGGCAGAACTCCAGCAGTCCTGTCCTGTGCGGGTTTTGTGCCGTATACAGAAGTGATGGTGATCCTTCTCGGCTCTGTCCATGTCCTCAGCGCGAGAGGAGTCACTAAGGAGCAGTGGGGAACACTAACGGGACTGCAGCGCTTGCAGTCATCCATTCCTCACAGCAGCTCTTGGTTCCCAAATTCACCCCAGACACTGGGAAGGAGTGGAAAGGAGACAGGTCTGAGCTCTGCAACCAGAAACTACTTTGGGACACGCTGCTGCAACACGGGGAGCTACTTCCCCTTGGAAAGGAGATCCAAGTCCCTGTGCAGCAGAGTCCTACCTTACATCCAGGGCATCTTCACAGCATCCCTCCTCTGGCTCACCCAGGAACACAAGAGGTGCCTGAATGCAGAGCTTTAGCTTTGGCTGCGAGAGCAGGGGAGCTGCAGCCAGCACACCCAGCCCTGTACCGCACCGCACGTGGACCCCTCCAGCACAGAGCTTCCCCACACACCCATCTGTGCATCTCTTTCAAAGAGTTTATTAGAAGTAAATATTTACATCTATTGCAAATGGTTAATAGGCAACAAGGGACTGAGAGCTCCCCTTGGGTAGGGAAGGATAGCAAGGGCCAGCTGCTCACCTCCCCACCCTACCTGGAAGCGAAGGGCAGCTTTCCCAACTGCAGGTGGCTCAGGCAAACCGGCGGCTGGATGAAAGCCCTTTCCCTTCCCAGGACAACCCACGGCACGCACCTCCTCTGCCCAAGATAAGAGCTTCCCGCTCCCCTGATACTGGCTCTGACTAGGCTGAAGGATGGATGGGAAAAGGGCTGCAATAGAAGTGAGGCAACTGCTCCTACTGTGGGGTCAAAGAGCACTCTCCTTGCCTTTGGGGTGGGAACAGACGGTGCTGTCCCAAAGGGAAGGTCAGAAGGAGACCATGCTGGATCATGCCTCCTGGCTCTCACCCTGCAAGGGCAGGAGGGGACAAAACTGAGCACCTTTTTGCTGTCCTGTCTTCCCCAGGCATCTGACCAGCACAAAGGAGAGGATTTCTTGAGAAACGCCGCCAGTGCGTGGCACACAGGACACTCCTCACCTCTTAGATAATCAGAGGATGCAGTGCTGCTGGGGCAGGAACCGACAAGAGTCCATCCCTACCCTACTGCTCCAGAAGCCAAAATCCTCATGGAAGCATCTAGTTCTGGCCTCCCTAGAGGGTCGCGTTCCCATCCCAAACTGTCCCTCTGCAGCAGCCCATTCTTAAATGAACTGGCAGAGCAGATGGAGTTTGTGCCTTGGCTGACTTCCATTCCAGACTGTGCCCTGGAGCCTGTAAGGCAGCAGAAGTGCTCTAGTTAACCTCTCCTCCTCCCATACAGGCCCTAACTCAGCTGGCAGAACCTAAAGTTAATAAAGTACATCCTCTGGGCTTTGAACACAGACCACAGGAGGAGGAGATGCCTGGCACCACACAGCTCCGAAGGCGGCAGTTTCCAGGCCCAGCTTATGCTATCCTAATAAGACTGTTTAGTGGTTCAGGAGTGGAAGTGAAGGGCAAGTGCAGATGGCAGTAGCTATATTGTTGTGTTCTTGTCAAGGGGCACCCCTCACTCCTTAACTGAAGGAGGGAGGATACCTGTGGTCCATATTACTCTGGAGGGCAGCTCACAGTCCCCTGGGGATCAGGCACACATGGTACAGAAAGCTCCAGGCCTCTCTGCAGGGGTGACAGTGACCTACAACGCCCAGTATCTCTCCCAGCAGCAGTGGAGGTTTCTCAGTTATGGCTTTTTTCATTTTAAAGATACAGAAAGAGGTTAGAGATGCTTTACCGAGTGCTCACTAACAAGTACACCTCCCCCCCCACATCCTCTGTTCAGAAACATCTAACTCTCCCTCCTCCGTAAGCGATGCTGCCGACTTTCAGCTCTACCACCAGTGCTGTGGGACAGCCACAAGCTCCTGGGCCGGAGGTCACTACGCCAGGAGGCGTATGACGCCGTTGTCCGAGCCCAGCAGGAGATGGCATTTCGTGGGCAGCACCGCCAGGCTGGTCAGCGTACCCCGAAAATTCTCCGAGCTCAGCTTGGTCGTGCTGATGGGCAGGGCTGAGGACTCCAGCATGGAGTAGACGCCAATCTTGTTGGCCACAGTGCCAGTGACCACTTCGTTGCCATAGAGGTCAAACGCATGGATGGGTTCAGATGCAGATTTGTAGTGGCGCACAGGTTTCTGCTCCAGTTCCTTCCAGACAGTCAGGGAATGATCCGAAGAGGAGCTGATTAGCACATTGCCCTCTGCAGCCTGCAGGAGAGGAAAGGCCAGTGAACCAACATGCTGCTGCAGTAAAAACTCCCGCTCTCATCCTGCAAATGAGATTGGCAGGTAGCTGCCAATAATCCAACAGTCCCAGTGCAATCCCTTGGGACAGTCCCAGCCATTTCCAAGCAACTGATGGTACTGAGCAGCATTAACAAGGCATCTGGGTGGACACTGGAAGCTACAGGGCTCACTGGTAGCTGGCAACCTCCCCTAGCACTATCCTCCAAGAGACGGGCTGCGTCTCTTCTCAGTAACATCCTGATACTCAGCACAACTAATTTATCATCTGTTACTACTGCAGTGGGTAAAGAGGTTATCATGTGGTCTCCCTCTCCATCAAACCACCTGTCAAATTATTTTCCTTCTCGGGAAAAGGAATTGAGAGGCTCTGTCACAGTAGAAAACACTGCTGATGGTAGGAGAAGCCTGGAGCTGCTTATTAGCAGGGCTAGTGAAAGGGTAAACAACCCACACTGCTGAACTTTGCTTAACCTGCATTTGGGTCGAGGACACTGGAGCCCCAACGCTGCTCTCTGAGGGCGGGTAAATATGGACAAGAGTTACTCATTAGAGTGACGCTCTCCCAGGGGGGCTGAGAGCCCTGCGGAGAAAGCAACACATTCGCTTCTTCACAGGAGATGTGTCTCCTCCCTGCCCCTGCTGCAGACCTGCTTGGCAGGGACCGACACCTGGGAGAGCTGACCTCCGTTCAGCTTAGGCTGGACCAAGAACAGCCACCCACAGCATTAACCATGGGGCAGGAGAGCTTGAGCAGCCTCTTAGGGACACAGCAAGGGATGGAGCAACACCCAGAGGATGGAGCAGACAAGCCCTGCCAAGTAGCGCATGCCAGAAGGATGCTCCACGCAACCTCAGTGGATCAATGAGGCCCACAAAGCAGCCCCTCTCCCTGATCCCAGCCGGACCTCTCACCTTGATCTGCAGGATGTCTCCCTCATGGGCAGGCCAGCCCCGCATGATGAGTCCTGTCCTGGTGTCCAGCAGCACAATGAAACCAGAGGAGAAGCCAGCCATAACGCTGCGCCCGTTAGGACTGACAGCCAAGCAGCGGATGAGCCCAGCGCTCACCCCACTGGCCAGGCGAAACTCATGCTGCAAGAGAGAGAGTCCAGCTACTGCGGGTCCGAAGATCTAGGAGATCCAGCATTTAGGGGACAAGGCCCAGCTGGCTTTCACGGAGGCATCACAGCTGGCTTTGGGCCCGCCATGATCACATCATTAAGCACACGGATGGAGGAGGGTGGCTCACAGACACCAGACTCCCTACCTGTAGTCCTGGCTTCCTGTGATCGATGAACCGCAGCACAGAGTCTGCACTGGCCACAGAGATGCTGTGATAGGGAGGTGGCATGGTGGTCACAGCTGTGATGGGGACTTTGCTGTCTAATTCATCGAAAGTCCGGAGAAGTTTGCCTGTGAAAACATGACAGAGAGGTTACAGCAGTAGATGTACAGAGAAGGTACACAGCAAATCTCCAGTTCTGCACTGGTTTTTAACAGGAGCCATCAAAACTCAGTATGGCCCCTCTGTCTTTAAGGACTGGACCACTTCACTCCAGCCAGCCCTCACCCTTTCCCTTCTTACCTGTGAACTGGTCCCAGATGTGTACAGTCCCATCACAGCTCACCACGTGCTGCGATGCCTCCAGCTGGCTCACGTAGAAAACTGACTTCTTGTGCTCGGCGTACGTGAAGCGCGGTGGCACCTCACTGGTGCCATCCCCATAGTTGTACAATGGCCAAAGGCGGACGGTTTTGTCCTTGCTGCCACTAAGGAAGAAGTCCTCGCTGCTGAGTGGTGCCACGCACTTGATGGCCCCTGAATGCCCTGAGAAACTCTGCAGCTTGATCTGGTGGAAATGGAAGCGGGGGTCGTGTTGGCTCACCCCAATCTCATACTGCCAGTAGGCCAGCCAGTTCCCACACAGCATGTGGGTGCTGCGAGGAAGGTCATGCTTCAGGGCATTCTCCTCGCTGGATGAGCTGGGAATAAAGCCATCAGTGCCAGCACTGAGGCGAAGTAAGCCAAGACCCTCACGCTGTGTGTCCACAGGGACCTGGATGCGGTTCCCTACCAGCACGCTCCCAAAAGTACCAGAGTGACTGTCCTCATGGTGGCTAGCAAAGGGCTCAGTCCCTCGCGTATCTTGGTCTGAGCCCACCACGCTTGGTGTTTGTTCCAGGCCAATGACCTGCAGGCTCTTGGGGTTCACATTCTCCAGGTAGAGGCTGGCCAGCTTCTCAACCAGCGAGTGGTTGGGCACAACCACCCGGATAACGTCACCTGAAGAGAGAGAACATGGCTTCAAGGGAAAGGATCTTCCCATCGTCGCTGTCCCCCCAACAAAACAAGGGTCAGCACAGGGCTGTGAACACGTACCCCACGAGACAGCCACATGCTGCTCCCAGCCAAAGCAGCCTGAAGCCCAGTGGGCTCCCAACCCAACCAGCAGACCAAGCCACAGCGTAGAAGCTGTGAGTTTCCT